GCTCGGGTTTCCAGCAATATGCAATAATTGCTATTACCTCATTTTAATTTGTCAAGTTAAAATATTAAAACCAAACGTGCAGGTGTCTTTAAAATATATTTACGCTATGCCATATGTCGATCGGTTTGATTTTCACACCAAGGTTGGATTCTTGGCTGGTTTCTTTCCATCCTAACGATAGCTGGAAATGGATTTATTATCTTTCTTGTTTGCAGCAAACGGCAGCTTCTCGCAAACCAACGCGTTTGTAGTTTCACTGGCAGTGGCGGACTTCTGTGTCGGGATGAGCGTTGTTCCAGCAATGTTCTTCTGTGAGATAGCGATTGGGTGCAACACACAGTCTTACTGGATATCTTAGTTTAGGTGACTGTTCGGTTACGCGTCCGTGATCAACTTGTGCGTTTTGGTACTGGATAGGTCCGTAGCAATCCTCCGTAGGAAAAAAGATGGCGACTAGTACCCACAGTTCTTAGCGTACGACAACTTTGAAAACGTTTATAAAAACGTACAGAAACGTTATAAAATCTTCAAACCCGGGCTATTCAATGTTCTTTGTACAGGGACAAACATTATAAACATTTGGCTTTCTTAGTGCCTTATAGGCTGTGTTAGGTTCGCAAAGCATTGTGGTAAAATGTACAGCCGCCATCGTTTTTCCTACGGTGGATTGTCAAGCCTTTAAAATACTTGACCGTTATGACGCGCCGCCGAGTAATCAAACTGTTTCCCTATCTTGGGGAATTCGAGTTTCGTTCACTATTTTTGCAGTACTAAATTGGCGTGTTTTTAAAGTACCTCTGATATTTGACTCACTGTTTTGGATACACGTGATATTTCTTGAGTTCCATCCATGTCTGATTTTGTTATTTTGCTTTGCATCAATGTTACATGCTGTTTGCAGNGCAGTGGCGGACTTCTGTGTCGGGATGAGCGTTGTTCCAGCAATGTTCTTCTGTGAGATAGCGATTGGGTGCAACACACAGTCTTACTGGATATCTTAGTTTAGGTGACTGTTCGGTTACACGTCCGTGATCAACTTGTGCGTTTTGGTACGGATAGGTACGTAGCAATCCTCCGTAGGAAAAAAGATGGCGACTAGTACATTTACCGTACCCACAGTTCTTAGCGTACGACAACTTTAAAAACGTTTATAAAAACGTACAGAAACGTTATAAAATCTTCAAACCCGGGCTACTCAATGTCCTTTGTACAGGGACAAATATTATAAGCATTTGGCTTTCTTAGTGCCTTATAGGCTGTGTTAGGTTCGCAAGGCATCGTGGTAAAATGTACAGCCGCCATCTTTTTTCCTACGGTGGATTGTCAAGCCTTTAAAATACTTGACCGTTATGACGCGCCGTCGTGTAATTCAAACTGTTTCCCTATCTTAGGGAATTCGAGTTGCGTTCAGTATTTTTGCAGCACTAAATTGGCGTGTTTTTAGAGTACCTCTGATATTTGACTCACTGTTTTGGATACACGTGATATTTCTTGAGTTCCTTCCATGTCTGATTTTGTTATTTTGCTTTGCATCAATGTTACATGCTGTTTGCAGGCACGATCGAGCATAG